GTCATGTAAGTTGTGTAGCCCGATATTAGAAACAGTAGCACTAATGTATTTAATGCAAATTTGTTTTCCAATTGGGTGGAAAGTAATGCAGTGGGAATAACTAATGTTTGCTGTCTGCATTTATTTATTACAGGTGAAAAAACTAAGTGCATTAGGCTATGTCCCAATTCTATTTTTCGCAAAGAAAGATAAGGCCTCTGGAAAGTGGGTGTCTGATGTGGTGACCCATCTGCTACCCACTGAGGACAACCTAAAAATTGTGGCCACCATGAGAAAGGCCTACAATTTTGTATTGATCAAAGAAGGTAGGATTTGTGTAATTTAAGTCATGCCTGTTTTTTTTATGATGGTGAAATATTGAAAATTAACATACTCATGCAATATTGTAGGGAACTCCACGACGACATTGCCTGATCCACACCCTCAGGCCCAGCCCGATCCACACCCTCAGGCCCAGCCCGATCCACACCCTCAGGCCCAGCCCGATCCACACCCTCAGGCCCAGGAAAAGGAGACATTTTAGATTTTATATTTACACCCTGTCTCTCTCCCTGTGAAGGAACAACCCCCCCCCCAAAAAAGAAAGTGTAAGTTAACTGTGGTCTTAGCACACTATGTATGAATTTTTGTAGTCATTATTCATGAAATACAGAAATCTTTAGGTGAATTTAAGTGCAGTCAATTACCGTAGTTAATGTGAGTAATTTTCAGTGGCCAGTCTGATACACAAAGGAGTTTTTCCTCGCATGCATACCTTTCAGTACTGAACATGCACACTCTAGGAGTAAAGCAATGAGCAATACACACTTGAGGAGAGATGAATACACACACACTCACGCACACATCAGTGGGCAGCCCAGGTAGCTTATCCCCCCCTATCACTGTTCACAATCTTCTTCAATAAACTTTAGGCCAGGCAGTAGGATAATTAGGCTAAATTTCGGCTATGAAATCACTGAATCTAATGGCTAAAGAGCAGTTCATTCCAGGAACTATAACGATAAAAGCGTCCAGACAGACTGACCAGCTATAAGCAAAGTCTCACCTTGTGTTAATAAATGCGATGGCTAAGATGTGATGGGTTCCTATTGGTTGTTAGCTCTTCTTTTTATTGTTCTCAAAATCGCTTTAAAAGCGATCCCCAACAATATTGTTCTCAATCTCGTTATAGTTTATCATACTAACGAGAACAATATTTTTTTATATAGTTATCGTTTTTGGTGTGAATGGCCCTTTATATATGTATTCTTCAGCTATTTAGCTGTATATTCTGACGTTTTCAAAGTTCAAGGACAATGCTTAAAGTTGTTCCCCAGGTTTTATGAAACTTTAAGTTTAACTTTAAGTTTAATTTCCAGGGTTTTTTTTACATTTATGGTTAATTAATATTATTATTATTATTATTGTCATTTTAAGGTTGCCGGAAATGTAGTAGGCAAAATTTTTTCAAATATGACTCCATAACAGGACGAAGGATAAATGAGGTAAGAAATATATTTTTCATTAGGCTGTCTGATCATCTCTCCATTGTCTGTGGCTCATCTGGCATTTCACATATCACAAAATACTGACCATTTAAGCATTGGTAATTTGAGTCCATTTAAGTTCAACTGAAGGCCAAGTGGCCTTGCCCCAGAAATTATGAAATTCAAAACCTGATTATATGTTTTTGTCTTTCTGTAGGGGCAAGAGGAAGTAAGGGTGAAATGGTTACCTTGCTCTGCATGGTAAGTACTGCTTTATATTGGTTTATATTGCCTTCATACATGTACTCTACCACTTTTTACCATCTCATAGGTAGTGGATAAAGGTTGAAATTTATATTGTAGCACACACAACTTTAAATGTACAGGTGGGTCTCAAAGTTTTGCAACCAAAAAGCAGCGTTGAGAGAATTGTCATGTCCACTAGGTTTTAGGTCCAGCGTCAATGCAGCCTTCTACCTGGAGATTTTAGAGCATGGTTCCATCTGCTGACGAGCTTTGATGCTCATGACCTGACATGCTGATATCCTTTTCCAGCAGGACTCTGCCCCTGCCACAGTGTCAAAACTGCTAGTAACTGGGTTGCTTAGCATGGTATTGCTGTGCTTAACTCGTCTCACCTGAACCCCATAGAGAGGACAATGATAGAAACCAAACCCAACATTAGAGACAACTTCAAGGTCACTATCAAAGCAACATGGGCTTTTATAACACCTCAGCAATACCATACACTGATGGCCTCCACACCACACCACACTGATGCAGGAATTTGTGCAAAAGCAGCCACACCAAGTATAGAGTGTATGCATTAACAATTTTTGATAAGTCAGATTTGTTCATTTATTTTTGAAAGGTCGACATTTCTGTATTCCTCTTTATTATTATGTAGTGAGTTGATTGATTTTTTAATTTTTTAATTTTTTTTTCATGAGCTGTAATCAAGATTAAATCAACACAAATTGCTTCAAATGTTGCACAATATTGTAATTGTAGACCCATAGGGTATATACTAATATCCCAATTGGTATAGGGTGGATTAAATGCAGTGTCAAATATTGTCTACAGGATTTAGCCACTTGCTCTTTTCAGTACTATGCATAATTCCCCCGGTGCAATGTCTATGTAGGAAGTAGACCTTCACCAATATATTGGCAGAACATCAGTATCGGCCAAGCTCATCCTTGTTGACTGATGTCAGCTATTGACTTTCTATGACTTTATCTATGAGAGTGGCTGATGTTTATCTGTTACATTTCATCAAGCACTATATATGTATAGGTTTTATAAAAACAATGAAATACAAGACCGTACAGTATTTTTCGAAAATATTTATGCTGTGAAACTATTGTTAAAATGGCTCCTGTTTTCACTGTTCTAATGTTATTTTTTTACTGATACTTACAGTGGAAAAATCTGGGAGGAGACATGGGAGCCGGTCTGCCAGTTCTCACCAGGTGCCAACCATGTGTAATGTCACACATTGGTCTGTAATTCAATGAGTTAAATACCTGCTATGAGATGTCAAGTTTGCCGTTACGGGCCCAGCCATCCTGCTTGCGGATGTGACTACTTTATATGAGGAGGAGCCGCGTTACACACTTTCAATGGTTTCCACCCTAACATGCTGTCATGCTGTTTTTTAATTTATTTTTTAATTATTGATTTTTGTTAAAATCGATGTATACCTTTATTTCTGTTTGTCTTTCCATTCACCTTGTGGTTTAGCCAATCATCTGTGGAGTCTTCAAGTCTTCAATGCATCAAATTATATATTGTAATGTGATGCACAAAGTATGTAGGAAGGTGGGACATGTTTTCATTCATATTAATTGACACCATTAAGGAACCGTTGATTCCACCAGCTAAACCATACATTTTCTGTATAAAGGGTAGCTGAGGTAGGCAGGGGTGGATAAATGAACAGGCTTACCAGGACCAGAGGTCAAGAGGGTCCAGAAGCCTCTAAAAATTTGAAAGCATGCTTTCTAATTCAGGAAGTTTTCTAAAGGCAAGGCACATGAAACACTGGCTGCTGCACTGTGGCCTTCCATTGACCTTGATGCACTAAATGTGTGTGTTCAAGTCTACCCCGGATGGGTAAAAGCAGAAGACTATATTTTTTTACTCTTGTTATTTCAGTCTATATGGGCCAATCTGGGTTTCTTGTTTATATTTTTAAACTGTCAATATTCATTTAGATGTCATGGTATTTATTTATTTTAATATTTGGTCTTATTTACGGTGAAATAATACAGTATGCTGTAATACAGAACATATGATCCGAGCTAGACGCAAAGACTCCACAATGCAATGCGGGCATTCATTCACAGAATCGGTTGTCATTGGTTGTCACCAGCAACAACAAGTTGCTCAGCTTTGTACCAGCCGCAATACCAGAGAAAGACCGAAGACTCCGGAAGTGACGTAGTATGTGCCGCTCGGCGGATAAGAGGATAAAAAAAAATAAATTTGTGCAAAATTGACTTAATTTATTTAATATATGCTTTTTTGGAAATGTTCTAGATTTCTAAGAAATGTGTTTTTGCACTATTGTAAAACATTTCTTGAATAAAAAACTGTATTCGTAATATTGATGTTTTTGTCTAACGTTGTATTTGAGGATTTAAACAATAAAGATAACAATAATAATAAAATACAGTTTAATGTATTTGTCTCATGTATTGTGTGCTCGTCGGCCGGCGGCAATCTGCAATGGAATGAAGCCCATTCATGGCCTATAGTTACATAGTTACACGAACATGTCCCCCCACCCCCACCCCAGAATAACTACACATAAGCACTCGCTTTGTGTGGCGCGTCTCTTATGGGAGTTGTAGTTTTAAAGTATATTGGTATATTTCTCACAATTAGAAGTTAAAAGTGTAAAATCTTGGATACACCCTGTGTTTTTTTGGGATGGGGAACACACTGGTGTTATCAGATTTCAAAAAATTAATCGTTAAATAGGTGAGATAGCTTATTTCCATATTTGACAGTGCTTATACAGTGGATAAACTTTGGTGACCATATCTACATGACAGCAGAAGCCCAGAGCTTTATATATAAATGCTGGTCTTATGTGTTTAGCACCTTCTGTTGCTAAATTACAAACCAAGATGGACTGGGTTCAAGGTTCAGAGGTCAATGCTCTCTGCAATGCTCTTCTGGCTGTACTTCCATCTTGTGCAACTAAACATCTACAAATGATCTGGAATGCTGCAGCTCGTCTTGTCTTCAACGAGCCCAAAAGGGCCCACGTCACTCCTCTGTTCATCTCTCTGCACTGGCTGCCACTCTCTGCTCGCATCAAGTTCAAGGCCTTGACACTTGCTTACAGATCGACCACTGGCTCAGCTCGCTCCTACTTTCACTCGCTCCTACGAGTCTACACCCCCACCAGAAGCCTACGATCGATCAATGAGCGACGGCTTGTGGTACCATCACAAAGAGCCACAAAATCACTCTCTAGAACATTCTCATTCACAGTTCCATGCTGGTGGAATGATCTGCCCACCCTCATCCGGAATGCAGAATCCCTGACAGCATTCAAAAGACAACTGAAAACTCATCTCTTCCGAAAGCACTTAACATAAAAAAATAAAATAAAAATAAAAATCCTTTAAATCCTCACTTGCCTAGTTTATGCTACTCTGAGCAATGTTTGAACTTTGTATTTTGAGCGCTTCTTGTGTTGTTATTGCCTCCTCACGATAACTTGTTTGGTTTAGACCTCAGATGTAAGTCGCTTTGGATAAAAGTATCTGCTAAATGACTAAATGTAAAATGTAAATGTAAAATGTATGGAGAATAAAGATGGATCAGACTACATTCTTTATGTTGCCTGGAGAGACTGGTTTCTATTCTTCTCCACAACCTTCATGACAGTCATATTAAAATGCTCTGTAATGCAGCCTTGTATAACATTAAACCCTCTGATTCACTGTGAGAGTTTGCTCTAAATGATAACACCCACTTTCAACACGGGCCTTCCAGCCAAAGGTATTGTCCATATACACCCCAAGGTGCCTGTAGGAGCAGAGCTGGTGGATTGGTTCATCATTTATGACTTCTAATACCTTCTGACCCATGTCAAGACCCTTTCATCAACTTGTGAAATGGTTGAATGAGATATGCGAGTTGTGTCTGTATGCTGTAAGCCGAGGAAGAAGTGTGCCAAAAATGCCAAAACACATGTTGTATACTGTATGTACACTAACCCTAACCCATAAATTGAAATTTCAAAAAAGTCATTCATTTAAATTTTAAAACTACTAATAATGCAGTGTGATTTTAAATCAAAGTCCCACCCATAAATATGCTCTCATGTTTTTTCCCCTTTAGTCTCTGCTATTAACATTTATCAACCACAAAATTTTAAAACCAACCACAAAATTGCTTTTTTAAATAACTATGCATGGAAAATAAAACATACTTGTTCCAGTCAAAACTTGAGCATAGCAGTCTCTTGCATGCTTCATCATTCTGGTGACTTCTTGCTTCTTTCTCAAAGTTAAGCTGAGGAAACCCTTGATCCCTTCTTCATTTAGAGCCCACAGCTCACCTTATGGGAGTAAAACAAAAAATTATCAGAAAAAAAATTACAATGTAGAGTATAGTATTACAACACATTACTTAAATACGTACTTTGCAATGCCTCACTGGAAAGCTGGGATGACATCTCCTTGAGTGTGTCTGCACAAGTGGAGAGAGATTTCCAATGCTTTGCCATCTCAGAAAGAACAATCTTCTTCTCCTCCTCAAGGCTCCTTATTGCCAACACAACATCAAACGCCTTCCTCTTGATTTTCAAATCTACAGCGTCTGGGATACAGTTGTGGAAAATAAGTAAATTGTAAGTATGATTATTTTTCAAATAATATTTGAGATAATCTGGGATAAGGCATAATTGGTTTTGTGCTACTATGTGAATCAAACAAAATTGTCAACAGATTTGTGTACATACCACCATGTGAAAGTTGCCATGGCCAAACTGTCTCGTCAGAGAGAATGATGTCAAAGACGATTCTTTCTGTATCTGGAACCATACTGTTGTATTTTTCAACGACAGAGCTAAGAATGGCCTTCTCCTCTCTGATTTTGCGCCGAATCAGGGCCCGACCTTTGCTGCCATCGGTGTCTTTGTAAAGGCGCTGGGACCTTCTTTTAATGCTGGCCACCAGCACCTCCATTCTACTGGTCACCACGTCAAGGTCGGCATTCTTTTGGGATGTTGTTGCTGAGAAGAAGTAAACATTTCACTTACATTTTCATGGCAGTAACTGAAACGAGCTAAGTCTCAGTGTAACACAGAACGCCACAGGGAAGTCATAAGGATTACCTTAACCTCTTTGCTGCTTTTTTTTTCTTTATAAAAAAAAGCTCCTGGAGGAAGGACAGGTGAGTCTCAATATTCATTTCATATTTATTAGCGTGTATAGGAAGTATGTAACAGGGTACCAAAGAAAATGACAACGTAGCCAAGATGGGATCCGCTAACTGCAAGAAATGTCGGAAACACTTTATTTTACGGTGTCGTTGTTACATATGTTACATGAACTTAAAATAGTAATAACAATAAATTATGCATAATTACATGTAACTAACCCTCAACCAAATCCTAATCCTACCCTAATCCTATAGTAAGTACATGTAGTTAATTAATATTACTCCGTATATAAATGTATAATTACACTCTAAGAAGGACACCTTAAAATAAAGTGTTGAATGTCACCGAAATGTCCAATGTTCCAACTTTTGGACTGTGCACCATTCAGGTACTTTCAGGGCACTTTATTTTGACATGATTTCCAGTGTGCATGCACTACATACTAAAATTTGGCATTTTAACTGCACAAGTAAATGACCAAGAAAACAGTGTATGTATGATTTCATTTTAAAACAGTAATTACTTGCAGAAGCATGTCTCCCATTATTCTGCAGAACTGAGACATTGAAATAATAGTATAACTATCACCTTCTGCCCACTCCTTAATATCAGTGACCCAGCCCTCAACTTCAACCTGTGTCACTGCCAGCTGGATTTTCATGCTTTCCAGATCCTGAAGTTGGCTTTCCAGGCGTTTTGCGGCCTTCAAATAACAAAAAAAGGGAATGAAATAAAAATGTTATACCTACAAAAATATACAATAGAAGGTATTTACAATATAAGAAAATAACAATAATCATCTCTACCTTCTGATATCGGCAGGCAAGTGAAGCAGCCAAGTTATTAAACTTTTGCTGATTCCAGCGCATGGCCATCAATGTAAGCATGTCTGTACGTCCTGTAAAAAAGAAAAAAAAATACACTAATCTGTGTTGTACCACATGTCCCTCACTGGCTACAATTTTCTTGTAACACTTTCAATCTAAGTAGTGCAGTGTGTGGTTACCTTACCTGCTTTGGACATGTGCTTTGTGGTCACAGCAGTCCTAGAGAGGAAGGCGTTACACTGCTCAAACCTCCTCCCCAAGTTTCAATCCGGCCCCTTGCTGGTAAGCTCCACTCCATTTAACCTATTGAAGAAAATACTTAAAAGCTGCCAACATACCTTTGCAGGTGTTTAGGGACAGTTAATGACATGGTAATGTTTTCTTACCTCGCATTTAAAATCATGGGCTTTGGCATGAAACACTGAGAGGAATGGTTTCATGCTCAGAAGGTGCTGGAGCTCCGGGCAGCTTTTTGTCACTTTGTTGAGGTAGGCCCAGTACTTGCAGGTTACATCCATGGCAAAAAAGCTTATTGACTTATTTGCCAGCTTGTTCTGCAGGTAGAGGGGATAAGCATATATTTCTCCCCTGAACATGTTGAGAGCGCCGAAAAAAACTCCATGTCGACAGACCGCAAGCTCAAGTCCCTCCTCATCAATTTTACTAGAGGATCTCTGAGAAGTTTCCTGGCAGCTGACCACTCCCCTCCACAGACACCTCTTCCAGAGACCTACAACATGGAAAAAGGTTGATATAAATAGTCAGGACTCACCCAAACAATGTCAACTGTAAAATGTTATTGGTCGTGTTTTTACAAATATTATACAACAAGTTTACATGGTTGGTGTTGGAATGAATGTAATCCACAAATCTTTCTACTTCATCATCTTTTGCAATGAAGATGCCATCAAATAAGGCTTGTTCTTCAGATCTCATTGAAAGAAAGGTACACATTGACCTTCAATATGACACAGCAAAGGTTACTTTAACAACACTGCAAATTACACACATTTTGTAAGTACCTTGCTGCGTTCTTAAAGCGGTAGTGCTTGCGATTTCCGTCCACAGAAACAGCAAGCATGTCTGGGGTGCATGCAGGACAGATAAAATGCTCCTCCCTGCAGATCTTATCCACTTCAAATCTAACAGCCTCCCACTCCAAAAAGCTTTTTCTGAAGCTGTCTGCTGTGATCTTCCCAGTCTGTTTCAGAACAGTAAAACATGTCAACATAATTCACAGTTAAGTTAACTAAAGTTAATAAGGTCAAAGGTGACACCAAATCCTCCTGCATCGAGCCTCCACAGGCAGTCGCTCAGCCCAGTGGATCTTTGGAAATCTTTTGGCTCTTTGTATGTCACGGACAAAAAACATCACGACCAAAGTCCCCCCCAAAAAAGACCACAGCAAACTCGACTCCCACAGCAAACTTAACCAATGTCTTTATGACCTATTTGTTTTTTTTCTGAATGCAAACTGCATGACTAGATGTGACATCACTACTTGATCTTATACACAGGTCTAATGTTTTGAGTGATTGAGTTGATAAATTGCTCCAATACTTTTGTACATTTAGTGTAAGAATTTAGATTCTTTACTGAGTGGTAGTTTTTACACAAAGACTTTGAATCTTAGATGATGTTCTATTAATGTATCGAGTACAGCTGAATCACTGTTTTGATTTCATCAACATGCTCCAATTATAATAATCAATGTGTTGATAATGTCACCATAGTCGTTCTGCGATACACATCAATACTAGTACTAGTTGTTAGTGATTCCCACCACTCATACTCACATGGCCAAAGCGGACAGTTCGTTGATCAAGCATTCTTAAGAATGCTTGGCAGGACAGTCCTGGTGCTGCCATCTTCAATTCTTCATAAGAACAAAAAACATCTGTAGCGTACACCGTGGAAAAGTGAAGGGTAGCAGGCCAGTAGTCATTACGGACTAAGTCATCCACTCCAGCGCTCCATGTGGCTTTGCATGCCTCACATTTCATCTCAGGCATACTGAGATCATATCGTCCTGGAAAAATCAGGAAAAGTAGCTTACATTACTATCACCTATGTAGTACATTCAGAACTAATAAAACTTAAAATCAGAAATCTGGCAGTCTTTCTCATTTGTCAAGTGCCTCTTTTGTGAGACAGAATGCAAAACTGAACATCCCTCCTGCCTATCCTGGGTCTTTCACAGGCGGGAGATGCACATAAGGTTATAGATGCGGGCGGGAGCGGGACTAAAACACATTATTGCGGAACGGGACAGAATATTGTGGGAACGGGGGGGCGCAGGACTGAAAATCCTGCCCAGCGCAGACCACTATAGGGAACGTTTGAATAGAAATAGATCAGGACACATTTACAAAGCCAATAGCAATGCCTTGTTTTTTTTTCTATTCAAATAGGACAATGAAAAGTGGCAGGAAGCGAGTAGGAGAGCCCTATGGGGTGGAATCAGGTTAAAGTCCAACCCAGGTCCCTATGGGCACTTTGCCCAGAATGTGATATGGACGCTAAAGCCACTTGATCTGGAATGTTCCCTTAAGTTCATTTTATTCTTACCATTTATTGTAACCACAGCAACAACTTTTCCTGTGTTGACACTCAACGATCCCGGAGAACAACTACATATTTTTTTGGGAATCTCCAACGACACAATACACACTGAAAGACACGTCATATGCAGGGATTAAAGACATGCATCATCCAATGTACTAACTGGGAAGTATTCTGCAATCATTTTCTTTTTCTTTTTTATCAATGATTTGAAAAGCTTTAAAGATAAAGGTCATTAAGTGTGTTTCAGAGAAAGTACTCAAAACATTCCTGTGAAGCCTATTATACTGTAAAGTTATTTAAATAAACTGAGAATGGGACTAGTGCTGCACAATATATAATTGCACTTTTTCTGACAGATAAAGCGATTACCATTTCCAATTCAATTTTTGAATGTGTATGATTTGATTCAGTTCAATATTCCAAATGTCTCTTTAATTTGTGCCACCCCTGATAAGTAAGCACAGCCAGTGTACAAGACTAACACCCACTGACCGACTGAAGTTCACCAATCAGAATTTTTGTCCCCTTCACACACTACGCACACCCACCAACCAGAAGTTGCACAGTCAAGGAGGATGACGTGAATATAAAAGTCAAATGTCACAAATGATATTTGAAGATTTTACCATTAGGCTGTTGCGTTGGATCATATTGCAATTACGATTGCAATAATTGTGCAGCCCTAAATAAGACACTCAAAGAAATAGAGCTTACCACACTGGGAAAGAGTCCTCTCCATGACACAGGTTGTTGGAAGCAATGGCTGAAAGAATCCAGCTATTGTTGCATCCCTGTTGTGGAACACATGGTTTCGGTGTATACTGACATCACAATCAGCACAAAAGAATGGTTGTGGTCGGCAGTCACGACAACGGACAGCAGCTGCACTGCTGCCACATTGTTGGCAGATCTGAGTGTTCACATTTTGTTGTGCCACCACTCGACCACCAGACAGGGTCTCTCTTTCTCCCACCTCTCTGAGAGGAGACTTTTTCTAGTAGACCAGTCTGAGGAAGCTTGTGGTGGTGCTGGTGCCGTTTCCTGATCATCCAAGTCATCACCCTGTGAGTGGTTTAGCTCTTCAAGGAAAGTCTCTTTTAAAATAGTACATCATATTTAAAAACAATTTTCTACACTATCAAAGTGTGCAACATGTTGTCGGTTATTCTGTCGCAAAAACATGTAATTTACATTCTAATTATTAGAATCTATAAACATAATGAACTAATAGACCCAAAATAAAGGACATACCAACAGTGTCAGGGGGACAGTAGTTGGTTATCTCAAAGCTGTTGTCCAACATCCTAGTATGAGAACCAGACTTACGACTGTAGCTGTGACTAGCTGCAGAAAATAAAACCCAAATCAACCTTTACAGCATTTCAATTCCATAGATTATGACTCGCTCATTTTATTCCACTCCATGATACATACTTTTATTGGCCCAATTTCATTGTCTATACCACTTTGGATAATCATGAGTATGTAATAAAAACCTCATATCTCATACCAGACACATGACTGATTCATGTATTCAATCCCAAGTGGTAAAACAATCTATATCTCCGTTTTAGATCTATGTGAAAAATCACAGGAGTACTCCTTTAAGTAATATGACTGAAAAAAGAAAACTGACCCGTTTGGTTTCGGGATGATCTTGGTCTGTCATAGACAACATTTCCATCACTGTCTCTCTTCAGCCACCTGACAGGTTGATGGCTAATGGATGGTGCTGCCTCCTGGACTGGTTGATGGCTGGTGGATGGTGCTGCCTCCTGTTCTCCCTGCATCTTATTGATGAAATCATTCAAGATCTGGAGTTCATAATTTAATTTAGAATGTTCAACAAGCTCATCAAGCTCATTAAGGAGCTGTTTGAAATTGGAATTGTCACTCATGGTGAACAAGGACAAACAAGACAACACTAAAGGGATAGGGGGGAAGAGCAAAAGAGCAAGAACAACAGAGAACCAGACAGACTAACAACAATTAACTAGACAAAAGTGGCTCTTAAAAGTGCCTTTGTTTTTGCTTTGTAACAAAGCTGAGGTTTTGAAGTAAATGATGAAGGGACTAGGGAACCTGTTGAGAGAAGGGAAAGATAATAAATTCAGATTTGAAGATCATGCTACATACAACTACATAAATACTAAATAACTGAAAGGTTTAAGAACTTGAGAAAATGTTGGTCTAGTTTTCCCATGCTTTGGGCTGTGGTGGGGAGGTCTGTGGGTGCGTATAGTAATATTAGGCCAGAATACTGTAGGGCTGGTTGTTGCCTGCAAACTCACAATACAATAACTCACTAGTTATGGACTGATCTTGACACTCATGTCTGATATTGATACCAACCATTCAAAATGTCAGCTTGGCTGATAATCAGTGCCATTTTTAATATTTTTATGTTATTAATTATACTTGTATTAACAAGGAAACACATTTCTTTAACTTTTTCCCTGTGATCATTTTAATCAAAAAGTTCCCTCAGCAGTCATAGTAGTTTTTAACACTAGCTTTTAATTAACACTGATTTAATTTGTTAATGTGTTTTTTATTTTCATGTCTATGCTTTCATAGCATAGACACAGTTATAAGTTACACTGACTAGCATGTGTATAAATGGGCACAAAAC